ATTGAAATTGGAAGGTGCTGTGGCATGGAAATGAATGTGGAAAAAACAAAAGTAATGAAAATTTCGAGACAACCAACCCCAGTCACAATAAAGATAGACCAAAAACAACTGGATAATGTGAAATGTTTTAAATATTTGGGTAGGTTGTTAACAGACGATGGAAGGTGTATGTGTGAAATTAAATCTAGGATTGCCATGGCAAAAGCTGCATTTAGCAAGAAGAAGAATCTTTTTACCAGCAAATTGGACTTAAATTTGAGGAAGAAACTAGTGAAATGCTACATTTGGAGCATAGCTCTGTATGGGGCTGAAACATGGACACTTAGGGCAGTAGATCAGAAACATCTGGAAAGTTTCGAAATGTGGTGTTGGAGAAGAATGGAGAAGATCAGTTGGACCGATTATGTGAGAAATGAAGAAGTGTTAATTAGAGTCAGTGAGCAGAGGAATATCCTACATGAAATAAGAAAACGGAAGGCTAATTGGATTGGTCATGTTTTACACAGAAACTGCCTTCTAAAAGAAGTTATCGAAGGAAAGATAGATGGGCAGATAGAAGTGACAAGAAGACAAGGAAGAAGACGTAAGAAGATGCTGGATGACCTTGGGGACAGAAGAGGATACTGTCATTTGAAGGAGAAAGTTCTAGATCGCATTAAATGGAGGAATTGTTTTGGAAGAGACTGTGGACCTGTCGTCTTGACAGATTACTGATGATGATGAGATTGCAACAGGAGTGAGAAGTAAGAAAAATAGTGTATTTCCAGTTGTGGTAAGTTTATTTATGCACAACGGGAAGTCTCATTACAGATCATCAGTAACAGTGCCTGGTATCATTAAGAAATCTGAACCAGGAAGACTTGCCATAGCTACATATTATATTTCCTGTAAGAGTAGTCTCTGTGTCCTAGGAATTTGTTGTATGAAGTCAAACATTCTCTCTGCTGCCCTTATGCATCCCTTGTAAATGACTGGGGTGTGTGGGCAGTTCACCCTGCAGTCATTTTCGTATGTGTATTTTTTGTTTTGAACATTATTTTAACATGCTGTATATTGAATGAAATACTATAACATTCTCCACAGACAGTGTGTTTTGTCTGGTGTTGAATAGTGTAATGCACAAATAGATACGGGAAATTTCAAACAAACTTTTTGTAAACTGTGCACACTCCCAAAGAGAGTACATTTCCACTACATCAATTACTGATTGCAAAATTCTTTCTGACAGTTGACATGCAAGTTAATAGAATTATGTTGGAAAATGCCTGAAATGATGAGGGTAGAGACACAAATATAAAGTCAGAGTAAATCTGGCTGTCTGATGACTTTCAAGAACAGCTGGTTCATTCTTGACCAAGCTTACAAAATTTCCTAGGTATTACCAGTTTCAATTTTATGCATCTGCTTGTAGAGAGCAAATACAATACAGGTTCACATGTTAGTAGACACGGTCTTTCCTGATATTTATACAGTCATGTTTTTAATAATTATAAACGGGGATCGGTTCAGTAATTTGATTTATTGAACTGTTACACATTGTAACCACAAGTAATTACAGTGCTGTCTCTAATTCACACACTCTGTTTTGCACTACAGCATGCACTAAGTCTTCTGTGTCTTCACCAGTTGTTGCTTGATAACAGATCTCAACAATGTCCTCATCTGCTCACATTGTTACCAGCTGATGACTGTCTCACACCTAACCTGTTTCTGCAAATGTGTCTTCTCAAAGGCAAAGTCAAAGTTATGTTATGACTGATGGTTAGTTGTCCAGTCTGTCTTTGTGTCAAGCCCTATCTGGGGCCCAAGACCAGACATTTGAGGTTTTTGTATGTGAGGCACCCTTTCTAATGAGAGGACAGGTCTGTTATTTACAGTCATTCTCATATGAGTCCCACAGGACTCATGACTGTATTTTACTGTCTCAGAATTGAGACTTCACCCACCTGGATGTCCAGGTCCCCATATTTATATCCATCAGGGACAGGGTGTCCCAGTTAGCCCCCAGGCACTGGGTTCCCTTTCCATCACCTCCTGTTACTCATGGGGCTACGGTGGAGGTATTTGAACCCACCTCCATATGAGCATCTCAATCCTAGCCATGGCCCACCAGTTCCTTTTTTGTTTTGTGTGCATTCATTGCTGCAGATCAGTGTTTACCTGGCCATTACTTAGCAACTCCACTTTTCTGGTTTCAGTTCATATATCACAATACTACTGCCATAATCAAAACATTGTAGTATAGTGGCTTATACTTCTGTTTTCTATTCAGCAGATCCTGGGTTAAAATATAGTAATAACCATATTGACAGTGGTGGTGGTTATAACTCCACAGTTAAAGGTCATCTTTGGCAGTCTATAATTTTGTACCTATCTGAGAAATACCGTGCTATGAAACAACAAAGTATCCACCTCATCACAGAAGCCTGCCGTCCATCACTATTCCAAACTATTCATCTTCCAAACATCTTCATAAACAGTTTCCAGTATTATTCATTTAAATTCCAGTTCAGCATAATCCTCTTCTCTCTACCTTAGCCTCCTCATAAGGGGGCTTCTAAAGTGTCCTAAAATGCATAAAGAATATCTTAAAATGAGAACTTTATATGTATCAGTTAATTTTCCTTGAATATCAAAGTTGATAACATCCTTTGTTGAAAATAAAATTGAAATATAAAGAGTTTTGGGATTTTACGATGTGTAGCCCAGATATTGTTATACCTATGCTCCTTCTAATTTAATGGTGTCCAATTTTAATATTTCAGAAATTGCAGGAAGAATGGTTCATCTGATAAATGTATGTAATTCACCATTCCTCTGTACTGATGAAGTAGTACGGGTGTTTACAGACTTTAGTGGGCGACACGTTGTGCTGAAGATACTTGAAGCAAGGAGAGTTGAAATACAATTTAGTGAAATTACACGGATGGATACATCTGCTCTCATTGAAGATCTTGAAACGTGAGTATCCTGACAGCCCATTCTTTACAGAAGCTGAAGGCTTATTTCTTTGTCCACAAGCACCTGCCACTGGACTTCATCCTGAGATAGTTTAATCCAGTCTACACCCTTATGCTCTGTTTCCTTAGATCCATATATCATCCCATTTATGTGTAGGCTTCCCACTTCATCTCCTCTGTCTGTGTCCTAACTATAATTATGTATGTGATTTCCATCACTCATATGCATGCCTTAGTAATACTTGGTGAAGGGTACACATTAAGAAGCTCCGATTATATGTATAGTTTTGTCTTGCCTTCTAATGTTTCCTCCATTTTAGATCAAGTGTTTTAGCATTCTGTGTTCTTCCTGTAACACAAGACACTTGGGTTTCATATCTGTATAAAACAAGTTAAATTATAGTTTTTTATATTTTAATCTTTAGGCTTTTGGATTGTAATTTAAAATTTTAATTATGAGAACATAAGAGCAAGACTGCCATCTTGCAATATAATCATCTTGTTATGCAGTAGATGTGATTTATGTATTCCTCTTATTACAGTTACAACATTATAGGTGTACCAAAATCTCCATCTGGCTACATAATGGGTAAAGTCCATCTTATTCCACTGCAGTCAGTACCTCATTTGTTGACAGTGCTTAATGTGCAGGATATAGCTGAGCTATGCAACAGTGTGCTGGTAGGTAACATGTTTATCCCCATATAAGGCAACCTTAAAATTTAAAGATAATTTTTTGAAATTTGGAAAATGTCCTTGTACTCAAATGCAGATTCATGGAAGGGTGTGTAATTGAACCTTTTGGGACAGGGTCTCCATTGCACAATTTATATTAACTTGACTGAGAAATTTCCTATTTGAATGTGAAAGTTTATCACCATCAACACAGAATCTCATCATTGGACCCTGTCCTAAGCTATCTCAATCCACTTCTAGATGATCATACAGTTAAGTTCGTGAACTCATCGCAGTGAAAGTGGTACATACCTCATTGCTGAATATCACTGTGGTTGCCTTCAAAGTACTCCCTTTGGGAAGGTGTGTACCCATGTCAGCACCTGGTCCATCTTTCAAAACAGTTTTGGAACTGGCCTTCAAAGCTCTCGTATTACTCCTGATGTCATCAGTGTCACCAAAATGCCTTCATCTCAATATATCCTTTATCTTTGGGAAGAGATAAAGGCATTGGGGGCTAGATCAAGTGAATAGGGAGGGTGTTCCAGTACAGTTGTTTACTAGCTAAAAACTCCCTCACAGACAGTGCTCTGTGAGCAGGTCCTTTGTGACCATTTTTGCACTCACCTTCCTCATGTCAAGATCTTTAGCTAAGATTTTCAAAACTGTTTCTCTATTGATGTTCATGTGCTCTGCTATGCTTCTGACAGTCAGCTGATGATTTTCATACACAATTTGAGGAACTTTTGCAATGATTTCTTCTGTTCTGCCCATTGCTGGCTGTCCTGATCTCTTTTCTTCAGTGACACTCTCTTCCCTCAGAAAAAGATGTGACCAACACATAAACTGCTGTTTTCTTCATGGCATTATCTCCATAAACGTGCACTAACATCTCTCTGATTTTTCTTCCACTCTTGCCAAGTTTAACAAGAAATTTAATGTTTGTTCTGACATTCTCGTGACTGCACACCAAAATACACTCAGATGATAACAGACACCACTCAGAAAGAGACTGCCATAGATCAACAACAACACTGCTGTGAAACGCTAATATGCCAACGTCATCAAACCATACTGAGGTTTCTCTCTACTGCTGCTACAGCAAGCATATGGTTGCGAGTTCGCGAACTTTATTGTCAGACCACGTGCAACAGTTATTTTGGATGATTGTTATATTTATGTGTGTTTAGCATGCATATTGTTATAATCACTGCCTGCTCTTTGTGATGTGAATGACTGGGATTGTATTACAGATAAAAGGTGAAGTCCGTGGGGAGTGAAAGTATAGCTCCACCACTCCTGACCTCAGCATGAAATGGAGGTGAATGGTCAGCCGCCTCCAGTACCCATTGGATGAGAGGCTGGATGGGCCCCATAGCCAGTCTGGACATTATGGAAAAGAGGAACATCTTGTTCCTGCTGGGAATCAAACCCCCAGCTGTCAAGCTCATAGCTCATAGCTCACTCTTGGGGTTATATTACAGATACTAATAATATTTTCATTTTAATGTTGTGTCTAAGTTGCTATTTAAAGTTTTCCTGGCTTGATCTTGACAGTTACCACTAATCATAAAACTGTCATAACTGTATAATGACAAGCATTATCTGGGATAGCTCAGTTAATATAGTGACTGGCCATGGGCTGGTAGATTAAGAACATGGGTTTTTTGGTTTGTGACCATATCCAGAATAGGATCCGTTTTTCCTCCTGTCCATTGGGTACTGGAGGAGTCTTTTTCCCAGGGGGAAAGTGGCCCAACCATGAAGCTGATCACTCACCTTCATTTGGTGTGAAGATTAAGAATATGTGGAGCTATACCACATACGCTCGTATATTTTTTGTTGTTGGGCATAATAGCAAGAACAACTTTACTTTTACGTTTTATACTGATTACCCATCACAAGAAGATGAGGAGATGAGCAGCTTCTGAAAGATTATGTATTCTGGCATATAGACCTGTTGCTAAGCAGTGACTTTGTAAACAGTGACCTTTTCTGGGCAGTGGCTCGGTAAACATGTTCCTGCAGCAATAGAATTACTGTTGGAAAGAGGGCGTTTCTGCGTAGTCCATGCCAAGATGTTATAAGCAAGGGGCTAAGTCAGTTGTTAACGAGTTCTGCACTTAAGGGATGTGAGGGCCTGAGTGTGTAAAGTTGAAGAATCTCCACTGTAAGAAGCCATTGCCAGGGAATGGCTGGTGAAGACACCGCAGGCTAAAAAAGGCTTGGTGGGTGGTGTGATGATTTGTGAATTGTGGAGATTAGCAGCAGCATTGTAATTGCTTGTGGTTCCAAGTCGTGTGTATTAGTAGTCAATAAATCGAGTCACCAGTCTGAACCCCATCTAGAGTCACTCATACATGTGACAGCTCAAATTATTAGAACCTATTTCGATAAGGTCTATTTAAATACTACTCTGCCATCTATTGTAGGTCTCTCAAGTGGTCCCTTTCTACAACATTTACACATTACATCTAAACTGCAAGGTCTTCTATATGCATAATGCTACAAGTAAAACATTTTATTGGAGGCTATGATTAAAATCGCATGTAAAAGCTATTCCTGTAACAAGCCCTGGAGGCCTGTAAGGTTGTGAGATGTTGAGGCGCCTGTATTTTCTAGACATTTGGGTCACAGATGGCGGTGAGTTTGTCAGCCTTATGCTCTGGCTGCCCTTTGCCCCTGGAAGATTCCTGGCACTTATTTCTGTTAAAGGCTGAATCAACCCCAGGGCCATAACATGCCTGGAAGGATTAGGTCAGTTGAAAAATCCACTGATCTCATCAAGAATTGAACCCATAACCTTCTAGTTTGTAGCATTGTCCCTCACCCAACTGTGTTACTGTGAGACTCCTCAGAACTGCATGTAGTAAATAATATCCAAATAAATTATATACTTTCATTTGAATATTGATATCTTCTTTTGTTCTCCTAGGAGGTAATAAAGAATTTTGATCCTAAAGACGCATACTGGACAGGAATTATCAGTGCAGTTGAGTGAATGAAGAGTTTGATTTCTAGTACAGTTTTGTTGTAAGTATGACAGTTTCATGGGAAACAGTTTTTATTTTTGAAGTAATCAATTGTTAACAGAGTACAGTTGTTGAATGTTCTTATGAACTGAATTCATTTTTTAATTAGGAATTTCTAGTGTATTAGTTCCTCAAGGAAGGTGATCAGGCTGTTTTGTAAAGAATTGTGACCACAACCTGTATTTCCTTAACTGTCTTTGAGTTAACAGTCTTACCAAGTTATATCAATCTGTTGATTCAGACTTGTCAGGGGAAGTGGCACATGAAACAGCTGGACAGACCAGCATGACAGTGTCACAAGCCTATCTTTCCTTATGAAACTAGCAAAATGGGTTAAATATGCACTTATGAAAAAATGGCTCATTAAATTTGAAAATTCTATCTCAAACTTTTTGTTAGTAATTTTGGATACTCTTAGAAATGTAACTGATCAGCCAAATTTATCCTCCTTTAATTTTGTATTTACAGAGATCCTTAGATATTCAAAATGTTCCAAACATGGCATTAGTATGTATTCCATTCTGTTGTTTTTTTTTCTTTTTTTACTAAGATGCTAAAGTATTCATAGCAAGTTTAGGTTAATTCTTTCCCATTCATAAATAAATGTTTCTTCTCATATATTTCAGTTTTACAGTACAAAAGAAAATTTTATGAACATAAAATAATGACTAATCAAAAAAATATTACTCCTTGTTACATTTTTGTTTTCCATTCCCTCTTTAAGCATTTTTCACTTCATAGGTGCAATCTTACATTTGTTTTCTATGTTCATAAAACCAGAGAAGTCCTCAAATTAAGTCGGGTTTCTATTTAATCCAAGTTCTGTTTCAGACAGGGTTCACTATATATAGAAGTGTACACATGAGTATGATGATGATACTGTTTTACCTGTTTCAGGGTTATTGTTTGTGTGATGCGACATTTCTGCAGTGTCATCACCGTCATGTTCAAAATTCAAAGTGATTGTACAAAATACACAGTGTTCTAGGACAAGTTCTTGTCTTCTTATGAAGCTTATATTATAATGTTTATTGCTGAGCTAAATGTGATTTGAAATGAAAGGAAATGTTAGAGCAAGTGTGCTTCAAAGGGTTAGAAAGAACTGTTTACTTCATTCTGAAAACTTAAATTTATGTTTCAAGCTGCTCTGATTTTTAAAAGTTTGCAGACTACAGGCCACAGAGTATTTTTTATATCCCCCTCCCAATAAAAGTTGTCTAGTTGAATATCAGAAAAGTGATGTAGTTGTGTTGAGAGCCTAAAAGCCTAAATGTATGATTTTAGGTGTTCTGATTTTTAAAAATTTGATAGTTTAAAAAAAGAAGTTGCTTAGTTGAATGTTGTCAGAAAAGTGTTGTAAAAGAATTTACTGAGACTGCTTGTAGAGAAGCTTAAGCCAGAACTTCTGTAGTAATACACATGACTGATGAGTATAGTTGTAGTGCTTGTTATGTTGATGAACGCTTCAAATTCAGTATTCATCCAAATTTAGTTGTAATGCCTACTCTGCAGTTTATTACACTGTATCAGAAATGTACAGCTGAAATAAATATTTTATTTTTGAGAATGGTTTAGTTTTTCTGGATGTGAGTTACATTAAATTACATACATACAGTATTATTTATTTGATCTTCACAGTAGTAATATTGTTTGTGTACACTTTTCATTAATACACTTTCACTAATACACATGACTATAAGTTAAAACATTTCTAAGTCCCACTAAGGAATGTTAAGGTTTATCTTTATGAAAGCAAGGATTGAAAATATTACAGAAACTGAAGAGAAGTGTCCCGTTTAAATCAGTGTAAACTGAAAACTGTGAAAGAATCCTATTTGTTTTAGGTTATATGATTCCAGAGAAAGCCATTCCTAATTAGAAGAAATACACCTACAACTTAGAACAATTATTTAGAAGAAATAATAAAGCTTAGTGGAATTATGCAGAAGAAACAGATTTGTTCTAATAATTTGTGATGTGATTCCTGCATATTTGGTGTGTAACATAATTGTTATTCAAAAACAAGATACAGTAAGTTGATGCGAGAAAGGGATAAAATATCAGTAACAATTCAATAAGTTATGTAGTAGATGCTGCCTATGTTGGCAAACCTAGAACACAAAGGCATAATGAGGATGGCTTTGGAACTTATGGCAATTGCATCACTAATTAGAGAACTATCAGGGAAGTGTACATCTAACTGATTCTATATGTTGCAGTAATAAAGCACTTTTATTCTCTAGAAGTAATGATGTTGACACTATCAGGGAAGAAGTTGTTAACAGTCTTGATGGGCAAATTAAAATGGATGTAGACCTTATTCTGTATAGGCCTTCTGTAATGATAAATTTCCCATTGAAGTTTTAAGTTATATCTAATATATTCCTGCTGGATTGGAGGTTCTCACAGTGGTGACTTGAAGAGTATACAATTTCTTTATTAAAACCGTCGCAACACAACTAAATTGAGGTCAGTGACAAGTTTGGCTCTTCTGCATGTTTCGGCTACTAAAAGCCATCATCAGGCAAATACATGGCCAACATAAATACACCACTGAACTGTAGTACTAGTAAAATTGGATACAATAATATTAATTATATTAAAATACTTGACGTTAAAGTACAATAAATTAGATTATATAAAACGAAAGTTATAGTATAAAACAATAAAATTCTTCAAGTGATGCATCACATCAATGAGTCATTCGTCAGTTTTTGTGATTTGTTGTATTCCCACGGACAAATTGGAGTATTCTATATTTTGTGTATGTATAATAAACTGTTTTGGAGGCACGTGATGTAGATGTAGTAATATTAATGTTAATTATTTAATCGGTGCCTCATCTTACAAAGTATTGTCTGTTCTGTAGGGAATGTAAACAGCGAAAAACAACAAAAAATTGAAGAGTATAGTTTGGATCATAACACCTTGTAGTTTGGATAGAGTATGGCAAACTTACTCCTTGCTCCTGCTGGTTTCTTGCTTTGCTTACTCTTCAGCCTTGAAGATGGAGGCGGTATGTTCATCTGAAATACCGAGTTTTCCCCGAAATGCACAGTGTTAACCCAGAACATCATTCTCTTAATATATTCCTGTTTGTGGTAGGATTTACTGTCAAAGGTGACTGATGGTATCAGACATGCAGATACACCAATACAACTCCGTGGCTTCTAGTCCGCAAGTGAACTATACTGACGGAGTGACTGCCACTTGCTGGCGACATTAGTGCCAGCTTTTGCGGATAGAGGGTGTCGTGTGGTCAGCGCAGTGGATTCTTACGGCTGTTAATCTCGGTTTTCTAGACTGGAAATACACCACTAATGATTGTATTATTTTGTTGCTAAGTGGGCATGAAATTAACAGTTTCCTTAAATATGATATTCATGGAGATATGAATTCAAGCAGTCTTGTAGGCATATTGCTGTCATGTTACCTGCATAGACCTATCAAGCTTTCGCTTTGCTTATCCTATGTTTCAGATTATAGCTCTGGACACGATTTTACTGAACTGGTCTCTATACACTTCTACATGCACATTCTGAAAAGGAAAGGAACCTTCCACACCTTCGTAAACCAAGTCACACTGCATGATGAATCAAACTACTTTTCAAGAATCCATATCAAAATATTATCAGTACTGACAGAGTAAACATGACACAGTGAAAAAAAAAAACTGATTGCTAGTTTATGACTTTCTACATAACTTATAGTCATGTGATGTGTTAAAACCTTAGAATTGTTACTATGGTAGGTTGAAATTGCATAATTTCAGAACTATCACCCACCATTACAGTGAATATTCTGGGATGTAATGTCATCTAGTCCAGTAGAAGTTCTCCATAGCTTCTATTAGGCTACATGGTGTTATGTTCTAGAAGATAGTCCTGTTCATAGTTCATATGTCATGTGAGAACCTCATATCCAACATAATCATGCTCTTTGTGGAGGCTACTCTAGACAGATCTGCACATAAGCTCTGAAAGCTTGTGACAGTAGTACATTAATACAAATATTATGTTTCTGGACATTATCCATTGTCCTGTTTTTATCTAGAACACTGTCATTGTGTTTTAGATAAAAACAGGGCGATGAATAATGTCCATAAACATAATATTTATAAAAATCTGCAGATTTGAGAAGGCTGCTCCAGTCATCTGCTTCTTGCTGGTTTCTTGCTTGGTGTATTCCTTGAGTCTGAAGATGGAGGCAGTACATTCCTCTGAAATATCAGTGAACTTCTACCAGACTACATGGCATCCATTCCAGAAGATAGTATTGTTCATAGTTATTGCTTTGTGATAGCTTTAAGTACATGTTTTGTTACAGTTTCTTTGTGACTGATTAGCACATTGAGATAATGCAGAGCACAAAATTTATTTGAGCGTGTACAAGACCACTATACAAATTGAAAGGATTTAAAATATTCATTCATGGGATAATTTTTTATGCCCAAACAAAAGATCTAAGGATGTACAAAGTGGACTGAGAAGTAGACCTTGAGTTAACCTGATGTAACAAACTTAACAGTCACAGTAATTGTCACCTTGAATCCAAGTTGGCATAACTGCATAAGGATTTGATTTCTGGTATTACGCCTGTCTTAAAAATATCAGTATTAAACACTTTTGTACTTGACAAACCAACAAGCTGTGATATAATCAAAATATAACAGTATGTGACCAGTACTTCTCATTTTAATATATTATATTCAAGGAAGTAACTGTAAAGTAATTTTAATGTACATTTAGGTATACCACTTGCAAAGATGGATTAACTGGAGTACANAGCGAGCGTTGCAAAAATGCGTGATAATGTGGGATGTTCCCACAGATTTAAACCTGTACATGTTTTATTTCAATAACCGATACTTTCATATCCAGATACCCAAAGAACATCTGCATATAGCTACAGTTAGAAGAGAACCTCTGAAAAAATAGGTGACAATGCCCCAGTCTGTCCAAATCTGGGATGACTGCCTGAGTGATGAACTGAAACTTATGAGTGATGTGCAGTCTTCAAAAGGAACACACGCTTTTCCTGCATGTTTTCCCAAATTTTCTGGTCTAGTGAATAAGGATTAATGTAACAAGTATTTATGTAGCAAATGCTGTCCCACCATCCATAAACGCTTATGCTCTTGAGATAAATTCTCTATTCACTTGTTAAAAATTTTAAATTCTCTTAGTGGTGGGTGGAGTCAAACTGGGTCCACTCGGCATGGCAGCCACTGCTTGGCCTATTGTAGCCTGCCCCGGTTGATTATGATGATGGAGAATTTGGTGGAATGAAGATTGGCAGGGGAAACCTGCCACTATGTCCACCACAAATCCCACTTGACCAGACCGGGGATCAAACCAGTGACTAACCCCTTGCGCGTTATTCACTTGTTACATCACTGCACTCACCTCTTCTTTTGTCTTTTCTGTACTGCTCTCTCTCTCTCTCTCTCACACACACACTCTGCTTAATTCACTGACTGACTCACTCACTGGTCTGCTGTACATTGCACTTGACCTAACTTGGCAACTACATTTTATTGGCTTGTCACCCATTGAGAAGTTTCTATGAAGTTTGTGGGTGACTGTAGCCAAGAGTCATATGCAGGCAAGGCAATGCAATGCTCTTCTGGGTTATGACACCATATAGCCTGATAACTGGTTACCAAGGTTTGAGGGTAATATACTCCATTTTCATTTCTGCACTGAAGATTGAGACAGTATGTTATTCTGAAACATTGTTAACCATCGACCACAATATAAATAAGATCTCATATTTTCATAGTCTAATTCTGGGCTACGTTTGTAACATGAGAATGTTATTTCGACATTAATGTAAGAATTTTATGATGGTTTCTACCAAAACAAACTTCTTTACCAAAATGTTTAGGTTTGTGGGGGGAGCAAAAGCTGATGTGGAATAGTAATTACCCTTGTTACCGATCGTACGAACGATGTTGAAGTTGTTCCTCAAACACTCATAGGTGACAGTAAAATCAGTTGATGTAAGCGGCGTAAGCAGCACCAAGTTGAACAAACAGAAAACTACACTATAGTTGAGTGGTAGTTAAGGTTATGTGGCGAGTATTTTCGTAATAGAATTGAGTGTTAAGATGCGTTTGGACGATGTTGTTTCTAACGTACATAATTACATTAGCGATTGTATGTGATTGTTACGTTACGTAATCTTGTGTTAATACGTAAGATTATAGTCTCGTGCGTACCGATGAAAGTTGGATGTGTTCGGGCGGCAAATTTGAGTAAAACATTCAGAATAAAGCGTCCTTTCTCCTGGGATATAACACCGTGTAGTATGTTGAAAGTCAGTCGACGTTTCGGAGGAACATATCGCCGCCATCAGGTAGTTCAGAGCTCTGCTTGCTAGCTTCACGCTGGTTTCTTGCGTGGTTTTTTCTTCGACCACGAAGATGGAGGTGACATATTCCTTCGAAACGTCTGTCGGTTTTCAACAGACTACACGGCGTTATACCCCAGAAGATAAGGCTGTTAATAGCCACCCCTGTGAGAGCCTCAAATCTAACATTCAGAATATTTTGAACAGGGTTTAGGCAGTATTTATTGACAGTAATATTTTCCAAATACACGTCATGCAAGAAATTATCATAGCAGTTATGGCAGCGTTTTAAAATTTAATGGGTTTGCCTCCATTTACAGTGTTATAATGAAGTTACGGTGCTGGTGTTCAGTAATTTTGATGTATGACTGCAAGAAATCTAACATACATTACGTTTGTGTTAAGAGAAGTATTCAGATGGAATTGAGCATTCTCCAAAATTGACAAAGTTTTCAAAATAGTAATACATAACCATGGGGAAATCTGATAGAAAGAAGTACGATAAATACAAGGACAAAAAGTATTATTGTTCAAAGGAAAAGAGACGGTCAACAAGTGATTCCTCATCAGAGTCAGATGATCATACCGAAAGCCATCGCAGTAGGTCAAGAGCACATAAGCATCAGCATCATCGTTCTAGATCACCAGTAGAGAAGAAGCTTGAGATCCAGTCCGTAGACTCTTATGAAACAAGGCATGTTTCAAAAGACAAAAGAGTAGCTGGGGAGAGAGATAGGAAAAGGCAGACTATTTATGATGATATCTGTAAAGACGAATCTCAGAAGAAGTCATGTCATAGCAGGGATGAAGCTGATCAGGTTGAATTCAGCTTCCAGAGGTATAGCTACGAACTGAAAGTTTTCCTTAGAGATGAAGATTTAGTACCAGACCCAGAAGATTTCTTAAAATTCTTGAAAAATTATGAAACTGTTCAAAAGAGAGCAGGAGGAAGGAAACATAATTTAGCGTCTGCTGGTAAGAAAGAATCTCAGAAGATTAAATCATATTTTTCTGAAAGACCGACAAAATTTGTGAAGTATTTCAGTTGTATACTATCAGGAAACTTTGGTACTGGAAAACTATGAAGGAAATATGATGTTTGAAAATCAGTGATAATATCAAGTTGCAATTAGTGTAAGCTTGGGAAATACATTTGTTCATATCAGTCAACCCTCTTACATATCAAAGGACAGTGACATTTAAGAAGTTTATTATTCTGCATGTTTCTTAATATTTTACTCTATTTGACCTGAACGTCATTATGGGTGTCAGATTATGCTCCTAAGTTTTAATGGTTCTTCTAGAAACTAGGTAGATTTTCAAACCCTGCATATCATAATATGTGGGGGTATTAAAAATGTTGGCTACTAATAATTTCATGTTTTTAGTTGAAATATCCTGTGAATATAATGAATTTAATAAAATTCAGTAAGGGCTGTATTATTTTTAATTCCTATATTTTGGGTTATATATATATAAAACTCTTAAGAAGTTTTGGGTCAACTATGCAGTATAAGACTGCATAATTTCTGTTACTGAATTAAAACATAAACAATTTTAATATGTCCAGTCCACATAATCTCTCACTAGATTTGTTCTTTTACAACTGTAACCCCCAGCTCATAACCCTTCTAATTTACTTCATAACTTGTGACTTGTGGCCACGATTTTATAAAGATGTAACAGAAGATATTTCATTTCTGTCAGTGAGATATTTTTGATATTTATTACTAACTTTTCCTTTTAGTTAATGATGTAATGAGGCACTCTTGTAAGAAAGTTATTTATTGTTGCAGAAACAAATACTGATGCTAATCCACTGGATATACCTTTGGTATATGACAAGTCTCACCTAGTTAGCATTGCCCTCACAGCAAGCCTGGAACAATTGGCATCCCGGTTACCACCAGGCAGTCACTTATCTCAACATCAGTTGTCAGAATTTCGAGATATTCTGTTGCTGTACTTAGACTTTAAACAGAAAGAAAAGTTTACCAAGCTTCGTAAACTACGTCAGAGTCAAAGAAATTTGCCTATTGCCCAATACAAGTAAGTAAAGACTGCAGGGGGTGTGATATTTAGAGTGTACTCAAGTAATTAAGAAGGTGATTAATTGATTGATATATATGAAATTTGGTATGGAAAGCATACACTAAACATTTTAGACAATTTATAATTTTGCTCAACTTAAACTACATAACATTTCTGAAATATGGCTCAGCTCATAAAATATGGGTGCACAGTCTTCCCTGAAAAGTTCATACTTCATTTTATCAAGAAATTCACACATTTATTGGAACCTGAGGTTCATTATCATGTTCATAGAAGCACGTCATTGGGCTAGCTCACATCTTCACAACATATTTCTTAACAAATATTTTAATACTGTCCTCCCATCTTTGCCTATGTCTTGCACATGAAATCTCCCCTCATGTTTTGCAGTAAACATTGTGTACGCATTTCTCATTACTCCCATGTATATTAGATGGCCCACTTGTCTCATAATTGAATTACCCAAACAATATTAGATGAAGAGTACAAATTACAAAGCTACGTGCGCTGCCATCTCCATCCTGTCCCAGTGCAGATGCCAGAGGGAGCAGTTGGTCAGTCTGTGCTGGAACAGGACTTTGCAAACCACCTGACACTGCACACAGTTCCCCACGCAGTCCAGAGAGTGACAGATGATCACTTTTTGCATAAGTATAGCATTCAGACACAACACATATCACATCAACTACTGATGATGAATATGAAGACAGTCCCTGAAATGGTGGACACCTACTCCACATTGACATGATTGATCACCTGAGAAGACTTTTGAATATTCATCTGTCAAAATTATAATGGTTACATGTGAAAAACATAATAATTAAACACGTATATTTATGAAGAGTGCTGTCTTCTGGGATATCATGTTGTGTAATCCACTGAAAGTCAACCGACGTTTAGGAGGGACAAATTACCTCCATCTTCAGGGTCGAATAAGCCGAGCAAGATACCAGCGTGAAAGCAGGTAGCAAACCCTTGACTTTCAATGGACTACATCGTGTTGTATGTTTGTGTTTTATTATAGAAAGCAGATTGTAACAGCAGTAAGAAATGAGAATGTATTAATAATAGCTGGGGATACAGGCTGTGGGAAATCTACTCAGGTGCCACAGTATCTTCTGGAAGCTGGCTATAAAAGAATTGGTAAGTGTGTATTTTGTCTGGTGATGACAGTATTTGTAATAGCTACATGGCAGGCACAGTTGGTTTTGTCATGAAACACTTTGTATTAGTATCAATGGGAAAAGGTCAGTGTGGTATACACAGAAAGAAGGTATCAGACAGAGAAATGGCTTAGTGGTCAGTATTCCTGTTTCATATTTGGCAGGTTCCAGGTACAACTGTTGATCTTGAGGCTGGAAACACTAACTTCTACATAGTTCTCATGGAAATGAGGAAAAGGTGGCATGACCTATGAGGCTGGAACAGACATTAGTGCCTGTGCTTTGAAGTTGAGGAGGAGGACGAGGAGTCCTCATGGAGACTTCCTTGTCTGATGAAGGCAGTGTTCTGTTCTTTCAACCATAATTTTTGCAATTTTGATGTTTTCACATCATTTAGTATTTAAAGTCTATTTGTACTGCTGAAGCAACAGTTTGGAGGTGCAGTTATATGAATCTTGCAAACAGGTGCCTTAGAATAGATGTTTTTTAGGCCCTCCTTTTCATTAATTTCTTGCAGTGTCTTAACCTTTAACGTCCAAAGTGCCCCGATCAGGCCAGTGATGAGTATGGTCGTCATGGCCAAAGTACCCCGTTTTGGCCAGCCGGGCATTTAAACTCCACTAGTGGAAGTGCGCGCACACGCTGCTAGTAGAAGCGCATGCACAGTCCTAAGTATTTATTTTTAAATGTAGTAATTACCATACAGACTTGAGAAACCAAAATAGAGGAATTAAAATGATACCTAAGTGAACAACAGCAAAAAAGAGTATACGTATGAGTTATGCCCAAAGTCATCCACGAGCCAATACTTATTTTGCAGATTACTGTGTTAAAACTATGTAGTAAAATTCGATGTACATAACTTTTTTGTTGTTATCTCCTTGATGTATATATAGGCTGAAATGAAACTACAGTATTCGATTTCACTATGAACGCACAGAAAACAGATCACACTCTGTATCTCAGCCATGATGCAACTGTCTGTTCATGACCCTAGAAAGGGCAATAATCTCTAGCAGCTATAATGGAAAGTCATATCACTGAAGAAGGGAATCCTCTGGTTTTCTCTTGAATAGCCATGCCTTCATTCTTCTGTGCTTTAGTCAAAAGATTAAAAAAACCAAAGAGTGTAAGCAGTGCTAGCAGAAGACCAAATGATTTTATTGCTTCCATCTGTTTTATGACACCAGGGACTGCTAAAATTTGTCAAGTGTTACAAACAGAAATGAATTTATAATGCAGAACAACTCTGAGAAGAACTGGGAAACTATTTTTGCCGTACACATCAAAATTAAAAGAAAAAATTAAAAATAGAGTTATAACTCTGTATAAAAATTTTCGAATCTTCCATTATAATATGTGACACTATGTTCTTTGCTGATACAGACAAAGTTAATTCCATCCATTTATCATAAAAATTGAGTTAAATACAGCATTTTTAAACACTGCTTAAAATTGTTTAAGTGCCCTAACAGGAATGGACATTTAAACGCAGAGTAGCAACGGGCATTTAAACGAGCACCAGCAGCTGGCATTTAAATAAACTCTGGCCAGCTCAAGCTTACCACCATTTCAGAAGTCCAGCATTTAAAGGTTAAGATGGCTTTTAGAAATTTGGTAGAACAAAATTAATCAAATTGAAAAATGAAGCAGTAAATTTAATTTCTTGAAATGGAATTTGACTATTCTAAGTTTTGTATTGGTGAGTAAAGTACAGTAAATATTCTTTATAACAGACTAATAAGGAGGACAGGTTGTCCATTATCGCTAATGTGTGCTGTGACCAAGTGGAGGGCTATTCACAGAAGTACACTATAGGATACATAGCCAGTGCTTGTAGTAAACACAGAAACACACAATGTGATTAGATAAAGGTTTTTATATTGGTGTTCTTTTTTATTTTAAGTAATTTTTATAACTAGTAAACCTTAATGCCTAAACATAAAAAATTCACAGTTGTATGCTGCCAGATTCTGTTGATTATATCTTAAATCTCTTATATCTGAGTCTATTATCACCAGGGGTTACTGTGCTAAGAAGGACTAAGCATAAGGTTATCATGACACGTTTCAAGGCATTATCCCAGCATTTGCCTGGATGTGTTGAGAAAAGCCACAGTAAGTCTTAGTCAAGGTAACTGGTATTATGACTGAGATTCAATCCAGAAATTCTCCTTCAATATGTAGAGGTAAGGTAAAGTTGTCCCTGTGCTTAATTAATTAAGCACTATGCTATGAAAACACATGGGGAGTACATGTATAAACCCACATTTTCTTCACCTCCGCACTATTTGGAGGAGAGTGGTCAGTTTCATGTCCTGGCCACTTTACTCCCAGGGAAAGAGCCCCTGGTACACATGGGATAGGTTGAGTGGACGACAATGAGAATAGAAAATTCTTGACCCTACCGGGATTCAAACTCTGACCCCTAGGTCATCCAGCCCGTAGCCAGTCGCTATACCAACTATGCTATCCCAGCTCTTTCAAAGAGGGTAAAGAGGTAAAGTGTAATTTTTAATAGAGAACTTCTTACATTGAAGATTTTGTTTCATGCTGATTGCTATTTTTTTCTCAGCATGCACCCAGCCACGTCGAATTGCCTGCATCTCTTTATGCAAACGTGTTGCATTTGAGACACTGAATGAGTATGGTTCAGAAGTGGGCTACCAGATTCGTTTTGAGAAAAGCAAAACTCAGCATACAAGAATTGTATTTATTACTGAGGGTCTGCTTCTGAGACAGGTAAAATTAGAAGTACAGCTTTTGTTTCAAATTTTGCATGCAGTAAGAGCCCAGAAATGTTTTTGTAACTTTTCCTCAAATTTATGTTCCCATGTTTACTATGTATGTCTTTTATTTCACATTATTTCGTTCCTATACTTCTTATAATAAATGAACAAGGAGAGATGAAGTGTACTGGCTTTTGGGACGTAATGCCATGTAGTCTGCTGAAAGTCAACAGATGTTTCAGAGGAATATATCGTCTCTGTCTTCAGGGTCGAAGAATAAGCCAAGCAAGATACTAGCCTGGAAGCAGGTGGCAAGCAGAGCTGAGGTGGCAGACGCGGCTGTGGTATATATTGATGTGTTGCACTTGATGTCATTTGTTGACATAGCTGCTGTATTAGTTGATTAACAATAAGCCAATTTCTTTGGTTTTAGTGGTTTTAATGGAAGTTCTGTGAGCTGATCTATTTAGTATATGGCATGTAAAGGGTGAGAATAGGCCACGACTGCTTCCTTCTGTACCCTCTCCTATTTATCATTCATAATCATATTACCATTTGATTCTGTAGCTGAAAAAGAGTCTATAAATAATGAAGAATCAGTCACTCATTTTCAATTAATCATGCATGGTCATCCTGCTATTCTGCATTATTTAGTGTAAGCATTAATGAAACATTGCTAAATAAACAGAGAAACAGAAGTTTATTAGAAATAAAAATTCTGCAATGTGCTTCACTTTGCAGGTGTCTACAGATCCCACTCTTTCTAATTATGATGTACTGGTACTGGATGAAGTACATGAACGCCACCTGTTTGGTGACTTTCTCCTTGGTATTGTTAAATGTCTGCTTTATCAGCGCTCTGACCTCAAAGTGATTCTGATGTCTGCAACTATAAACATAGAACTCTTTCAAGATTACTTCTCAGAAGCTGTTACAATAATACAAGTATGTATATCTTATCATGCATCTTTACTGAAGCAGAATGGCCTGTGAGAAGTTCTGTCTTAACTTCTTAATTGTGGTAATTAATTCTCAGTTTCACTCAAGTGGTTCTGTTCCGCTGTAGCCAGAGCAGTCCCTAGGAGAGAATGAGTGTTATGTACACTCATGTCCTCACATGTCAGCTTTATTAAATATACAATACTTCTTGTGCACTGTCCTGGCCATGAAGACAATAAAACCATGTGTTATTTGTTTTTTTAATTCAGTACCCTAAGCAAGTTCATATCTAATTGAAATGTGTAGTAGTATGAATATCTGTGTTTCTTCATTTTTCCTTATCAATACTTCTTAATTACTTATGCTTTGAAGAGGTACAGTCAGGGCTTGACACTGTAATGGGAGGGCATAACATTGTTACTAACAATAGAACTGAATAGTTACAGGGGTAGCTTTACCTTTTTTTCTTTTTGCCATACATAGAGGTCTCTATAATAAAGGAGTGTGTACAATACTGAGTTAACTGTGATGCTGTTGGCATAGCGTTTTCATTAAATTGCTTGTAGGTTCCTGGACGGTTGTACCCTATCAAACTGCAGTACATGCCAGTTTCAACAGAGGAGAAGTTATCAAAATCTGAGCGATTGAATCCAGCTCCATATGTGCGCATCATGCAGCTTATTGATGAGAAATATCCACGTACGTTTGCTATATTGGTTGAATTAGAAAATAATTTGGAAATTTACTCCATGAGAACTTGGAGATAAAAATAATGTTTGAGGTATATACTGACAAATTGTATATGAAGAAGTATTACTATGTTCTGAAAGATTATTTTGCAAGATAGGCTGGCTCTAATTTTCTGATAGAAGGTAAATATTTTATATTTTCTTGCCTTAAAAGTTAAAAATTTCTTTACTATGAGATGAATCAAGTACCAGTCAGAGATGAAGCCTCAGCTGAAGCCAGAGCTTTCTGCAATATGCTAGCTTGTCAGGCTCATCATACCCCTTGTGGTCAGTGAAGGACAATTATGGATCATTATTGGAACGATGATTGGTGACGTAAATTTGAAGTTGTTGGACAAAAATCTGTTCTAGCATCACTGTTTCCACCATATCTCCCACATGAAGTACTCCAACATTTCACCTGGGCCAGAGTAATGAGAAACCAGTGGCTTAAGTGAAAACTTTTAATTAGAGTATAAATGCTTGGTGTTGAAGAGGCTAATATATATGTTAGAAACATATTTTTGTGAAATATTAATATTTTGTGAATTATTTTCAAAACATACTGTTGAAAATAAATGCTAAATATGTTACTTTGTACAAGCTAATGCTGTGATGCAGGGTCTTTCCTGAAAAACTGGTAGTTTCTTGGCTAGTCAAGATATTTTATGATTTTGTGGAATATGGAGATTCTGCAGTGTGTTCACAAAAACCTGCCTCTTTACCCATCATGGGCCATTTGAGTCCAGTACACCTTCACATCATATCTCTAATATCCATTTTACAAGTAATACCATCTTCCTTACATATTTCTTTGTCTCTGATGTTTTCTGTACAACATTCTATATGCATGCAAGGCTACATGCACTGTTCATCATATTCTTCTTCATTCTGTCACTGAAAAAATATTACAGAAAGAGTAAAAATAATGAAGCTCCTCATGATATCATTTTCTTTGTCTCCCAGCTACTTAAGGCTGTATGTTATCATGGACACTATGTTTTCAAACATACCTGGAGAGAGAAGAAGGGGGTGGGGGGAGAGAAATAGAGATTAGGTTTCACATCTGTGTAAATCTAATAGGTCAGATCGTACATATCAGGCTTTAGGTTTTCAGGTAGTATGTGGGAAGATAAAAAGATTCTGAAGTGGATGGTATTTCACAAATTCCATCATGAATATTGTGTTATAAATAACTATATTATATTTAAGCATCCTGTTGCACTCCATACGATAAATGATATAAACTCCGTCTCAAGTGCAAACAATATATATTTTGTGTCTTTGATCTTGCTCCCTACACTACATGTTTCGGCCTCAGACGGCCATCATCAGGTGTATAACACTCACGTCGCTGTCACACTGCACCCAGTTCAAAATTTAACATCTAAAACACTCTCCCTGTCATTATCAACTTCTACTTCGTTGATAGCTGTCCACCCGTAGATTACTTCACACACGTTAATTTTGAGTTTATTGTAATAGCACCATAATAAAATCTTTAGTTCTAATTTTAAACCTTTAAATTCTTGTCCAAATTTTAAAATTTTAAAAATTGTTAGGGTTATTCGCCCTGTGTTTGAAGTGCTGCAGCGGCTAGTTCTTGTTTCCACACTGTATAGGTGTTATCCTGTGTAGTCTTTCTGTGTGCGTGCCGCTGCTATTCTTTACTACGTGTGCTCACCTCAAACACAGGGCGAATAACCCTAACAATTTTAAAATTTTAAAATTTGGACAAGAATTTAAAGGTTTAAAATTAGAACTAAAGATTTTATTATGGTGCTATTACAATAAACTCAAAATTAACGTGTGTGAAGTAATCTACGGGTGGACAGCTATCAACGAAGTAGAAGTTGATAATGACAGGGAGAGTGTTTTAGATGTTAAATTTTGAACTGGGTGCAGTGTGACAGCGACATGAGTGTTATACACCTGATGATGGCCGTCTGAGGCCGAAGCATGTAGTGTAGGGAGCAAGATCAAAGACACAAAATATATTGTTTGCACTTGAGATGGAGTTTATATCATTTATATTATAAATAACTATTAAGAAACTCTGTTGAGCAGAGTCCTGTTGAGAAGCTAGCAGTTGATTAGCGGGTCAAGAAATTCCTCACTGTTTTAGTGCATAAATGTTCAGCATCCTGCTGGATTCATGGTTCTCACAGCTGTGACTGTGGGGGCTGCAGTCTTCTGGGATGTGATGCTATATAGTTCTGTAGAATTCCTCAGTGTCTCAGAGAAACAAAGTGCCTCCATCTTTAGTTTCAAAGAGTAAACCAACACAGTAGCCAGCATGAAGCATATGGCAAACAGAGTATGTTCATCTGATGCATCGAGTTTACATACTCACACTACTTCTCTAATACCCATTTTAATATTGTCCTCCCATCTATCCTTAGGTCTCCAAAGTGGACTCTTGCCTTCAGATTTTCTGACAAAAATTGTGTCCTTTTCTCATCCACTTTTCCCTACCTATGTAACATTTAGTAACATGCTGGATTTCTATAGTAGGATGCTGTTTGCTCATAACTTAACCCCAAAACTGGAGGGCCATCCATCATTGGCTCTTTATGACTATTCAGTATATACACTGCTTATGTAGAGGCTGTGTCCTTCCACATTCTGAGACCACAGAACACTTATACTCACCATATTACTCTATTTTGTCTTTCTTTCTGTGAATAGGAAACGAGAAGGGTGACTTACTTATCTTCTTGTCTGGGATGAGTGAAATCTCTTCAGTAGTAGAGGCTGCAAAATGTTACTCACAGAAGACTCAAGGCTGGATTGTTCTTCCACTCCACAGTACCCTTTCTTTGGTAGATCAAGATAAGGTGAGACCGAGACGGGATATTAGAAATGTATTTTTTTGTAGGGCTCAAAAAGCCTATTAATTTAACAACAGCAGCAGCATCAGTGAAGAATTTAGGCCTCAATATGGTAGAAACTTTGAAATTGTTCATTAATATTCTCTCCTGCTCTCTTCTTTGATTTATCCACAGATGTCGAACAGTAGATTTGAATGGTAGATGGTACTATCTTGTATACATATTTGGCTGTATAATATAAGGGACAGTACTTGTATGTCTTGTGTGTTATGTGATGGTAAGTAGTATGTTGTGGAGCTGGTTTCTATTGTGGAGAAATGTCTGGTGAGTAGAATTTATGTTGTGTAGTGAACTAAGCCAACATTTAGTGACTCTTGATTGGAGAACATGTGCCAGAAATAATGCTGATATTTTATTAATCCCATTCTGTTTTATAGCTTGTATGTGAAATTTAATATGTTAATATTATTATCAGGATTTTTGTTTTTATAGTATTGCAGTTTTTCTTATTTATTCATGAATGTAAGAATGGAATTTAGCTAACTCCAAATATTAACTGACTGCTTAATATTTTTTCATTGTGACATATTTCTTTATGCTCAGAAATAGAAAACTATGAAATAAATTGAACACACACGTTTTTTTTCTGTCAAATACTGATACTATCAGAATCATCAGAAAAATAGTCACTAACATTTCCTTATCTTCTTGATTGATTACCTATAATTCTTATATCTCTCCACCATTTGCAATTTTTCTACCAATATCCAGTCACAGTTTGAGCCTGGATTACTATTTTAGCTTCAGCATTTAATGTATATTTATGAAACATTCATTTGCCACTTCTTTGTTAGGACGTTTAGTTACAGTTGTCTAAGTTGATGTGTTTGGGTACGTGTTATTAAGTTATTTTATGCTGTTGTATATTTTTGTTCTTTGCAGGTGTTTGACTACCCACCGGAAGGAGTTCGTAAGTGTATAGTATCAACAAATATAGCTGAAACTTCTGTCACAATTGATGGTATTCGCTTTGTCGTTGATTCAGGAAAAGTGAAAGAGATGAGCTATGACCCAGTCTGCAAAATGCAGAAACTCAAAGAATTCTGGATCAGCCAGGCGAGTGCAGAGCAGCGAAAAGGGAGGGCAGGTGAGGATGGCATTTTTGAGACGTTACTACCAACAGTGCTTCTGCTTGTTAACGTCGATATGCAACTATGTTTTGGTCTTATTATTTAAGTAAGTCCATGGAGCAGAATCCGTTTTGAGAAGCTGATAGCTGCTTAGCTGATCGAGAAAATCCCCACATTCCTGGAACCCGAAGGATAGTTACCATGTTCACAAGAGCCTGTCACTACTCTCTGACCTTAGCCAGATGAATTGGGTCTACATTTTTACACTTCTTTGAGATCCATTTTTTATTATCCTCCATCTATGCCAAGGTCTCCCAAGTGGTCTCTTCCCTTTGGATTTTCTGACCAAACTTTTTTTATACACTCCTATCTCATCAATGTGTGCTACTTGTCCCATCCACTCATTTTCATTTACTTATCACCTTAATATCAGGCAAATTATGGGTGGAAAATTTGAGCACTGTGTTTTTCTGTATAATAAAAGTGCTCTCTTTGCCTGTGGGAGATATATGCTTGTAGTTGTTGCTGATTGATTCTTTGGTCACTTCATGATGCTGTTTTAACTGGAGGTTATATAGCAGTGACTGAGATAATAATATTATCTGATAGGTAAATAAAGATTTGTAAGCAGATGTATGTGTCTCATGTGAAGATAATAGGAGAATCCCACAATATATTGTAACGTGTTTACGTTACTGAAGATGCCGTAGAGATGGTTAATTGGGTTTATTTAACAATCTACAAATAACGGCTATAATTAATGATCACAATATTACGGGTTTCCACACTTTACAAACCCTACAACAAATCTCTTAACACAATCTTCACTTGTCTTCACGTACTGATAACGCGGGAGCTATACAAGTCTCCCTGAAATACACACTCCGAGTATAACTGTACTACAGCAATCACTATGTCTGGAAAGCACACAATAAGTCTTCCGCTCGCTGACTTCTTAGTTATCGCACACGCGCAGGCTGCTATGTTACAACTGTAGTCCGCTGACTGGAGAACTGTTGATAACACGCTCTCGTAAGCTTGCTCGGAACTATCTTCGGCGATGGCCACGTTATAACTCGGCGGCTGTACAACTGAAGTCGCCGACTGCTACAGTAGAACTCGCTGGTATCCACATTAGAACTCTTGGTACCTGCTGTGGAGTCCACTTATATAGCCGCAGGATTGCCTGTTACGTTCCACGTCACAGTAGGAAGCAGTTCCGCGTCACCGCGGAGGGGAGTGGCGGGGCGGGCTTCGTTACCGTGCGGAGGAGGGGGAGGGGAGCGCTGAC